AGCTTCATGAACTTTTCAATTATTTCCAATGTTCCAGTGGTGTAGGCGTTTAGCTAGGTTCTCATCGCACCCACTCTATTTAAACCGATCCGAAGCGACAGAGGTTCGAATCAAAAATTACGGTACATTTTACGACTCGATTTGCGCACAAGCCGCAGCAACAGTTACGCTATTTAAATGCATGAATCTTGACTTTTCGATTAACACGCGAGATTGTTAATATGCCGAAACTTTCTTCTGCCCGGTTCTGTAAAAATCACCGTCGTGGTTCAGATAAAAATAAATAATTAAATATTAATAAGTGTCAATCATCTGACTTTCCTGCCGCAATTAACATAGATATCGCCGAATCATTCACCGTCAGCTTAATAACAATAATACAGTGTGTGTTAAGTTGTCAAAATAATAAAATACAATAAAACGATAAAATTTCAAAACTTTATATACAATAAACGTTAGAATGAGAGATATATAAACATAGAAAAAGTAAAAGTTTTGAATACGAAAAATTTACTTTAAATTTTTAATGAGAAATTTGAGATAGCTACAAGTACGGAGCTTTCTAATCGTGCATCATTCAGTCGTGACCTCTGGTCAGGAAATTTCACGGGGCTCAAGTTAGATTAATCTATGTTCACTGACAAAAGTGCATCTTTCAAATCAATATTGAAAATTTGGAATCGCGATTGAAATACAGGGTGTTCGGAAACTTGGAGGTATGATTCAACGAGGCAAAATAATGCTAGTAGGTCATGTAACAAAAATCATTTTTTTAACGCCCTGATTTAGTAAAAGTCATTGTTACAAAATAAAAATGTTTCAGAAATCGGCCACTGGAGGGCCTTTTACCCAGAACATCTTTTTTGTTTTCCCTGTTTTTTATTTATTTAGACTGATATCGCAAAATAGAACAGATTGCCTTAAGCAGAATCGCAAATCCTCAAAAATTGTTACCCTTTTTAAAATAGATAAGTGTTATCGTTTAGTCGATAAGTGTTATCGATTTTTTATTCTCGGCTCGAAGTTTACCTGTAAATGCCATTTTAGTCAATTAGTTTCTGTTGGAACTGTAACACTTAAAGTGATACTTTTAAATAAACCATATTAGAATTTGAAATGTATTTGAAATGAAAGATAATAACAGCTTTATCTCAAATTTATGCAAATATCCATTTGTGTTATGTGAAAATTATCAAAATTAGTTTTAATATATAATAATATAGAATAATGTAATAATATACCTATCTATTTGAATAAATAATAATAATAATGTCTTTATTTTCGAACATAAATTTTACAAATGAATAGCTAGAAATAAGTAAACAAATGTTCAAAAAATGACGAAGTTCATATGAGAAACTCACAAACTTAAAAACTTAACCTAGACCAAGAAGCGTACCTTTAATATACAAAAAAAATTAAAAAAAACTAAAAGTGATATAAGCAAGTGATTTATAAAAGCTTATATAAATAAATAAATAAAAAGCTCTATATATTGCAGAAAACAAACTAGAAACTATGCATGTATGCGTTGCCAAATATAATTTTTATGTATTTGCTGTATAAGTACGTAGGGCGTTGGAAGTTTATAATTTTATAAAAAAAGCAAGCAGAATGCAACTCTCTCCTCCTCTCCATTGTGCTGAACACTTTTTTAGTGCCTTTGGAAGACCCGATGTATAGACAGTATAGAGCAGCGGCGAAAGAATGACGGAACACCTCGAAGGAGGTCCAGTGGTTCTGATAATACAGATCCGATTCTAACACACTGGGATCTACTTGATAAAATGTAAGAAAAAAAAATTATCGATGTGTTACTAAGGCCGACATAATGCAGAATGGCCAGAAGCAATTTATGATCTATCATATCGAATGCTTTCGAGAAATCCAATCCACCGTGAGATTACCCTCGTCTGCTGCCCTCAATATATCGTCTGTTACATTAGCCAGTGCTGTAGCGCGTCTATGAGTTTTTCTGAAGCCTGATTGAGTTTCAAGAAGAATGTTGTTATTTTCAATATAATGGAATAATTGGATGTTTATGCATTTCTCGAGGGACACGGTAAAACACTAATTGGGCGTAAGCCTTTGTAACTTTTGGGGTTGGAATTTTTTTTAACAAAGCTTGACAAATCCCCTGAATTTGCCAAAGAGGTAGTCTCCAAATAGGTTCACAAGAGTAATTTGTTTTTACAAATATTAAATTTTGTTTCATTATGAGGTTGACTCGTTAAATTTACAATATTTTGTCAAAAATAATCTTAAATTGTGGTTGCCCAGTTTTTTTAGTCGTATATTGGTTTCAATGAATATTGGTATTGTTCGCTGCTTTTTGTCTTTTCTTAAAGACAATTTTAAATGTTTGCTTTTAGGGTTTTGATTGATTTGACAGGCTGATCCATACTAAATTATTTATCTGCATCTGTAAAATTCGAAAACACAACAATTACAAATCTTTGTTATTTCTACCCAATAAAAATTTGAGTTTACTAGTATATATAGTAGTACTAGTATATACTAGAATTATAGTGTTTTATAACCGACCTCGTGAGTAACTTTTCCTTCTCTTTATTACTCCAAAATCCCAGCACACCCTTACCCGTAACCGTTCCAGGACTGTCCTAGGATCTTTTTTGCTGAGCAATTCTTGAAACATGTACATAAATATTGTTTTCCATGTCTTCTTCTAACTAGAGAACATCTGCTTCATTCCACGGTCTCCACATTTCAAAGTGTTAAATAACAGGAACGTTTAAAAAATATTTAATTGTAAGATTCTACCTGTATGCTTATGATGTACTTTTATCTATAGCGAATAAAATCAACAGTCTTAAAAAGGACTGTTGTTGTTTACAAATCGAAGAACTATGTAGAAGACACAAAAATACAAGAAGAAGAATGTTGTTAATCGACGGTTACACAAGACAAAAATGATGATTTTCAAACAGTTACATAAATATGTACTTACTGGAAGGATCAGAGTCAAATACCTTCGTAATATGTACGAACATATTGCAATACTATTGCTCTAAATGCTCTTTTATGTTCGTTAATGCATTTCTTGGAGGATCTACCTGTTTGTGCAATATAAATTTTAGGATAAGATCCGCATTTCAACCTGTAGACACCTGATTTTAAAAAATTTCCCTATTGTGTTGTTAGTTCTAAAAGCTATTTTTAAACCACATTTTGACAAATGTTTTGAAACTTTTTCACTGTATTCTCCTATGTATGTCATTGTTTCGGGTAAATAGAGTTTACTGTTGTCTGGATTTTTTTTTATTTATAATTTTATCGATAAGGGACGGATTGTAGCCGTTGTTCAGTGCAATTTGTTTAATGATATTACGTTCTTTGTTGTAATTTTCTGTTGAGAGTGGCGTATTAAAAAGTCTGTGTATAAAAGAGTGAAATGCAGCTATTTTATATGTTTATAGGGGTGATTTGAGCTGTTATGTATGACTGTGTCCGTGTGTAAAGGTTTATGGAAAATTGAAAAATCTAATTTGTTTTGCGTTTTCGTAATAGTTAAGTCTAAAAAATTAATAGAGTTATCCTGTTCAATCTCGATAATGAATTTTATACGAATATGTAATGAGTTAATGTAGTTTAAAAAATAATTCAATTGTCTGTCCGTTCCAACAAAGCAAGCAAAGACATCATCGACGTATCTATACCACCATAGAAAACTTTTCCTTAAAGGATGTTTCAGTATGATATTTTGCAAGTTATCCATAAAAATCTCGGATAACAAAGGAATAAGTGGGTTTCCCATTATCAAACCTTAGAGATGCAAAACAAATTAGATTTTACCATAAACCTTTACACACGGACACAGTCATACCTAACCCTAGCAACTCAAATCACCCTTATACACACACAATAGATGCATTTCACTCTTCTATACACAGACTTTTTAATACGCCACACTCAACAGAAAATTACAATAAAGAACTTAATATCATTAACAATTTAAAACAATTACATATTTAGTGAAAAACTTTCAAAATATTTGTCAAAATCTGGTTTCAAAATAGCTTTCAGAACTAACAACACAAAAGGAAAATTTTTAAAAAATAATAAAACGAAATGTCCAAAATCTCAAAAATCAGGTGTCTACAAAATTTATATTGGACAAACAGGTAGTTCCTTTAAGAAACGCATTAACGAACATAAAAGAGCGTTTAGAAACAATAGTCTAGATGCTAATTATGCTACACACTTAAACACAGAAAAACATATTTTTGACCACAATTTTGATATTTTACATACAGCCACAAAATTTAGAAAATTAAATTTACTGGAAGCCATGGAGATTAACAAAATGAGACATTCAAATGTATTACTTAGCGATGAATTAGATTTAAATACCTCTACATTATTACACTTAAATTCCCACAAGGACATTAATTAAGGTTTTATGGCCATTTTTCGGGTTATATAGTAGCAGCTACTTTGTAAATATTACATTTGATAAAGACACGGTGTTGTCGAAACAATAGTCATGTGAAAATATATAATTTTGTGAAAATCTGTACTTTTAGTTCTTATTTATTTTGTAACGCTTTTATTTATTGGAAAATACCCAGCAGCATCAATGGTAAAACCAAATTTAAAAGTTTCTACAAATATTCGTTACGCAAGATCTACTTAATGCGGAATAAAAAAAACGTCAAAACAATAAACAATAAAAAGCAGGACAGAAAGATGGAATCTTAAATAGACTGAATCTCTTTATAATTATTATTATGTAACCTTTAAGTTGTCCACCCTAAAAACCTCTGCCGTTGAATTAACATCCTAAGCACGCCATTTAAACTAACACTTTAAATAATTTTCTTGTGCGTTTGACGTCACGACGTGTCCAGTCCTCGAAACCAATTTAAATTTCACCAAACTACTTCACGTAGTGGACAATTATAGACGTCGCTTCACGAAATTTCACTTCCGTTTTGCTTGTTAGAACACTTACATTAACGTTTTTTTCTATTTTGCTTCAGGTTGCCGCAATATCGGCCCGGAACGAGACGCTACGAGAGTTAGAACCGATAGCCATGTTAAAATCGCCGCTCTAAATCGAAAAATGGCTCTAAAATTACGAAAGGACATCAAAAAATCGTCCTATTACGTTTGGTTTTTGGGGGCGAAAGAGTCGAAGGGCTTGAAAGGGGCGGAATATACGTTGCCGGTCATCAAACACCTCGAGCAGAGGGAGAAAGACGTGGAACCGTTCAAAGTTACCTTACAGGTACGTATTGGCCTTGAATTCGGTTCGGATTTTTCATACCAAACCGCGTTTCAGGTGTCCCACAAAGGATTGAAGATAATTCAGAACGTGGTGACCCAAGGGGCAAAAAATTCGAAACCCAAAAACGAGACGATAAAACATTTCATCCCACACAATACCATCACTTACGTGTATCAAGACGAAGACGTCATAGCATGCATACTATTGCTTTTCAACCCCGTCACGAAGTGTCCGTTGCATGTACACGCCTACAGGTACGTAGACCGTCTCAACATATAGCTACGGACGATAGAAAAAATAAATAAATTAAAAAACACGTAGTCTCATATCCATTTTAGAATTTTTCATATATATCCTTTCCTTATTTTCAATACACCCTGTTTATTATTGCCATTTTTGGATTCGCAACTAAGCAATTTTATTACATGAAAAATTATGAACTATAATTTCTTATCTATATCACAGATTTAATGGAATAAATATAAACGATAAAAACAATTAATCGTATTGTTCGACTATTCTTTGCAGTCAAAAAAAAAATTCATAACTAAGTGTCGCTCAAAATTTTCCAAATGAAAATTGTGTTTTACAGAAGTTATTGGACATGTTTGTAGTTTTGGAATCAAATGTATTTCTAATTGATAGAAATTGGTGAAATGACCTATAAAAACTTCTGGATTTTTTTTTTCCATTTTTTTTCATTTTCATTTAATTACATAAATGTTTTTATAACCGCAATTCAAACAGTACCCGAGCCCTTTTTGTCATCTACCTCAAATTGACTTGCTCAAGTCACTGAATCTAAGTTCTTTGCACAAATCTGGTTACGCTATGAGTGTGATTTAAGGAAACCAAAATTTCTAAACATATATCCTTCTCTTTTACTATATGCTGAAAAAAAAGTGAAAATATAGTTCATATTTAATATCTTTTACAGCATTTATTCCTTTTTTAACATGAATCATTTTTTATTGCAAATTTTTGATAATTTTTATCTTGTGTTAACATCAAAAAAATAGTTTATTATAATAACATATAATTCATAATAATAACATAACAACAAAATGGTGCACAAAGGATTAAGAAATCAAATTATAATTCATTCCAAAAATTAAAAAATGCTAACATCGCCGTAATATAGGGCACCAATTTTATCAAAAGTCAAACAAATTTTAATTTGGAAACAACATTAATAAATTGTTTAAACGCCACGCCTATATATGTTACAATACCAAAAATAAATAATTTATCTGAAAAAATAAAACACGTTATTGTTACAGATCCCACAAATTAATAGAATCAACGTTTACTCCATTAAAAAGTAAAATTTCAGGTAAAAATAATACTTCTTTAATCAAATAAATATATTGGAATGAAGAGCCAACTTTTGGAAAATCGTATAAATGGATGTAAATATATCATAAACGCACTCATATAAACCTTTTGACAGACCTTGAAATTAGCAATATATGATTCATATTAAAATAGAAATAAATGCTGTAAATGATCGAAAAGTCCTACATGTGCAATTTAAGAGCCCAGTCTAAGTTAAAAGTCAAATCCACTTTAAATTTAACAATAAATAAACACTTAGCTACTAATAATAAACATAAACTTCAAAAATGTCAAAAATTAATGTCAATTATTTCATGTTTCTTAATTTATTCAAAATGTCACTAAAGCGTGTAAATGTTTTTATATAAAATATTTATTATATTAGTATTTATTTTGTTATTATTATTTATTTATTTATTTATTATTCTAGTAGATTATATCGATCAGTATGAAATAATGCAATATAGGTATACCTTATCTCTCAGCTATTTAATGACTTACAGAATAAAATAAAACTAGATTTTTTCAGTAGTCCATTTGAGATTGTGATGGGCTCGAATTAAATATCCAACGTCTCATTTCGATTTTCGTTGATAACAATTGGATATGCTCAGTCCAAAATTTAGTAAAAAAATGAACAAGTCAATTTTTTTCGGATTGAATATAAAACTTCTGATCAAAGCATGAATTAAGATTTTTTTTCCGTGTAGGAGGACGTTGTTAAATTTTGAATATTTTATAAATTTTCTGTTCGGACAACAAAAAATTAGCAGTAAATGATCGAAAAGAAAGTATATAATTTAAGTCCTACAGCTACAGTTTAATAACCCAGCCTAAGTTAAAAGCCAAATCCACTTTAAATTTAACAATAAATAAACATTTTGCTATTAATAATAAACATAAACTTCAAAAAGGTAAAAAATGAATGTTAGTTACTTCATATTTGTATTTCAAATTTGTTTTTGTATAAAATTATTATTACTATATTTTATTATTATTTATTTATTTATTATCATTATTTATTTATTTATTATTATTATAAATTATATTCAATTATATAGGTACACCTTATCTTTCAGCTATTCAAGAACTTTTGATATAAAATAAAATTAGATTTTTTTTTGTACATAAAGAAAGTAGTCCATTTGAGATTGTGATAGACTCGAATTAAATATTAAATATTTGAGTTTCGTTGGTAAGAATTGGATGTGCCCAGTCTAAAACTCAGTAAATCTAAAACTTTTGATCCAAGCAAAGCATTTCCAACAAACACAATTTCATGAATTAAGATTTTTTTCCGTGTAGATGGAAGTTGTTAAATTTTGAATATTTTATAAATTTTCTGCTCGGACAACAAAAAATTAGCGTATTTTATAGATGTGACTCTCTGGAGACTGCGAGTCTCTTGAAGCAGCAGCTGCAGACCTTAATAGACCGGCCAGAAAATCAAAAGAAAATCGCCGAAATCGAAAATCGACTTAAGCCGGCGAAGGAGTCGAAAAAACTCGAAAGCAGCGTCGGAAGCGATACGGGAGCGTCGACGAGGGAATCGGATAGTAGTGAAGAGAGGTGAGTCCGAGGGGGGTGACGATTTTAGTGAATTTTTCACCAAAAATTGCCGCGTTAACAACATCCGGATTAAAAAGCAACTTTATTAAGTAATTTTTGCTGAAAAAATTGGTTGTGACGTGGGCAAACATTTTCGTATAAGATTTAATAATGGCCAGGTAAAAATGCAAAATTTGCGATAAAAAAATTTATTATGAAAGTTGCCAAAAGAAGAGTGTGGAAAATAATAAAAAGTAATTGGTGTAGTCAGAATAAATTAGGTAACTATTTTAGATATTAAATAAATATAATAAATAAATAAATAAATGCTTTTTCCAAGACCCACCGCAAATGCCTTTGTGAAAATTTAAAAAATATATTTTTGTGAGGTCATTTATACAAATAACCCTATATATTTTTGAAAAGTTCATATCAATCTTTTTTTCAAAAAGACGAAACCATTTGGAAAATAATTGACTCCGCCACTGAATTCTAATTCACACATTTCATAGGATAGCCGGTATACGAGGGGTGCCCAAAAACTTGAAGTTTTCAAATTCGCCCTGTATTTTAAAAACTGAGCAAGTTGTGAAAATTGTTAACTTGATTTTCCGCTTCACATAGAAGTACCAAGGGTTTGCGGAAATGTAAGATTCGATCTTCACTAATATTGGACGTACCCCTCAATCGCTACCAAAATGTTGTTTAAACATGATAGGAATTTTCGAAATCCAACCATAAACAAAAATTTGACAGTTGCACAGTTGTACAGTTCTTAAGTGGGATATGCTGTACATAGCCAGTTTTCATTTATGGTCCTTTGGAACACACTTCAATTGCAAATTGGTTTAAAAATCATCCAAATATTCATCGGAACAGTTTGATAGTAATGAATGACGTAAGCTACCATTTTGGAGGTCATTCCCAGAAAACCATTTACAGAGCAGATTGATAGTTAAAAGAAAAGAACATTAACTTCCCATGAAGGGTCGTGAAGGATGAAACATTGCAACAATTAAATATGAAACCTTTAGGCCACAAAATACTAAAAATTCCTTCATACTCTCTCTCAGTTATTAATATTAAGATGGTACGAGGGCTACCGTTAATATTACGGGATTTGCAATAAAAAAAACTATGAGCTACCAACAAATATGACTATATTATTTCTCAAAATATTCCCCTGATGATCAATACACTTTTGCATTGGCTAAAACCAATCATCGAAGCACTCTTCTCACATCGAGTCGGGCACCTCCAAAACATACCTTTTAAACCCATCAATCGCTTCTTCTGGTGTCAAAAATCGTTGCCCAAGTAATTTATTCTTATTGTATGGGAATAAAAAGAAATCGTTAGGTGTTGAATGAGGACTATATGGTGGATGGCTCATCAAATCATCGGTGAGAACTAGCGTTGTCGTCGTGGAGAGTGGTCGGTCTTCCTCTAATTTCTTCGAAGACTTTCAGCAAACAAATGGTTGTGTACTATTCACAATTGACTGTTTTACCTTTCACCAAAGAAACAGTTGCAATGTGGTCAGTTTTCCTGAAAAAAACAGGCTACCGTTCGTTTCGATGCGCTTCGCGCGAGAACAATTTTTGTGGGCTTTGTCTTATTCTGAAAGACCTAGACAGTCGACTGGTGCTCACTTTCAGGTTCATATGTCATGATTGATCACCTGTCACGATATAATAGACGTTTTTGGAAGCATTTTTTAGCATTTCCTTCGACCAATCAACACGAGCCCTTTTTTGAGCAGATGCGACATAGGCATGCGATGGAGTAGTTTTTTGTTTCAGTATGGTCTCTAATTGAGAATAAAAATAATTTCTATAAAAATGAACTGACTGACTGAGGTTAAAAAGAGTGTGACGACAAACGTAGGTTCAACTGTGGTTTAGGATTTCGGTACTTTTTACCTGATATCCTTTACGACGTGTTACGACAAAACAAATTCTGTTATAGGTTTGCTTTGGAAAACTCGAGAATAGCTTCATTATACGATTCGGTGGCAGCCGAATTGAGGGCCAAATTGGGCAAAAAAAATTCCCCCATACTATTGCCCCCGCGTGATTACGACACTGTTCACCGACAAAAAGGAAACCTCACTGGTGAGTCCTAATCGAAGCCGGTAGACGTATGAAATTTTGAACCCACCGTCGTAGGTATCGAGCTCAGACGATGCCTGAACGCGAACATAGTGGGCCAAAACGTGAAAAATCGGCGACTGGAATCTTCCGGGGGAAGTTCCGGGATCGGATCCGATCATCCTCCCAGTCCGGAATCTCCCGAGACTCCCGTGGACTCGAGGTTTCATACCTTGGACACCCACAGTACCAGCGGTAAGTCTATAAAATAGTTTGCTGGCGATTTCTTACCAACATGAAAAAAATATTAGTTAGTGTTAGTGTGGAGGATCGCAGCTTCTTCCTAATTCATCAACATTTCGAAATATTATTCTTATAAGAGTTACATTTTAAAAGTATCCTAAATTGTGTAGACGTTCGATAAAATCACGACGATATCGGGTGTCCCAGTGAGATCAAAGAGGTAGGGCATCGGGGAAATGGTTTTTGAGATTCCGAAATGGCCACCCAGAGGGCGAGAAAAATGTAGATCTTTTTGTTAGACGCTTTTTTCGTTCTCTCTAAAAGAATCAAATCAAATTAATATCCTACTCTTGGTCAGCAGAGTTTTCCATTCAACCTGGAAACTTTCTAGCTTCAAATTATCACATTAGAGGAATTATAATACGAATTCAGGTTCCTAGGCCAATATCTAACTCTTGACCAGTAGAGTTTTCTATTCAACCTGGAAATTTTCTAGCTTCAAATTACCACACAATTTTACACGATAACACGATCCTACCGAGTTATATCAAAGACAAGTCAAGGAAGTAATTACTAACTCCACACTATTTAGTGGCAAAAACAAGTATTTTTAACAATTATGAATCCACAACCGCCGAAATTATATATAAAAAAAATATTAAATATTTAAAAGTTCCACACAGATTTTAAGCCAAAATTTGCAATAAAAAATTCTTTTGAATTAATCAACAAAATTAAAGATATCAAAATCCCTTGTAATGCAACACTATTGTCTTTTGATGTACAAAATTTATTTCCCAGTATTCCACCTATGGATGTGATAGATTTAGTAGATTTCACCCTCACTCGGAAACAGGTTAACCCATTGGTGAAACGAGATTTATTAGATTGCTTAATAGTATCTTTAGACCAAAATTATTTTGAATTAAATGGCCAGATTTACATCTCTAAGAAAGGTCCTTTTTTAGCCGAGATTTTTATTGATAATTTGGAAAATATACTAGAACATCCTTTAAGTAGAAGTTTTCTATGGTGGTATAGATCGTGGATGATGTCTTTGCTTGCTATTTTAAATTACATTAACTCATTACATAATATTTTAAAATTCACTATCGAGATTGAACAGGATAACTCTATTAATTTTTTAGACTTAACTATTACGAAAACGCAAAACAAATTAGATTTTTCCATTTATCATAAATCTTCACACACGGACACAGTCATACATAACAACACAATAGGAAAATTTTTAAAAAACAATACAACGAAATGTCCAAAATCTAAAAAATCAGGTGTGTACAGGTTGAAATGCGGATCTTGTCCTAAAATTTATATTGGACAAACAGAATAGCATTAACGAACATAAAAGGACGTTTAAAAACAATATTCTAGATTCTAACTGTGCTACATACTTAAACCAAGGAAGACACATTTTTGACGACAATTTTGATATTTTATATACAGCCACAAAAAGTAGAAAATTTAATTTATTGGAAGTTATGGAGATTAACAAAATGAGACATTCAAATGTCGATCAGTTAGATTTAAATACCTCTCCTTTATTGAACCTAACTTCTCGCAACAACATTAATTCAGGTATAGTTGTCATTTTTCGGTATATATAGTAGCAGGTAGTTTGCGAATGTAAATATTATATTTGATAAAGACCGGGTGTTGTCGAAACAATTGCGTGAAAATATATAATTTCGTGAAAATCGAAGCTTTTTTGTTTGAACTATTTTTTTCTATCTCGTCAAAAGACGGGTCAAATATTGGTTCAAAAAATTTGAATTACTTTTTCTTAGCTTTTTAGTTTTAAAGAATATCTATAGGAGCTTTAACTGGCATGTCAATATCACGATAATAATTCTTTCACGAATCGGTAAGAGCCACTTCAAGTCATAAATAGCAATTTTTATGATTTTATCGAAAATTTGAAGTATAATGGTATAAATATTATTGGCTAAAAAAACACAGCAAGTGGTGAAAACTGCATGGTAATCTCGTTTGTCCCCTCTGAAATATAAATAAAAATTAATTTAAAAATACTTTTTTTACGTAGATGTAATAGACGCAGTATTAGAAATAACCAAAAGATAACATATTATGACGGGATGATAAGTATAGTAAAGGTCCGATACCACTTTTATTTTATTTTATATATAAAACATAATTGAGAGGAAATTAGTTTAGAAAGAATTATTTAGAAAATACCTCAATAAATTGATGTCTGTGCTGGGTTCCATAATATTTGAAGTTCGCTCTGGTTTATGATTTCTAACGCCATGAACTGTATAAACTTATTTGAATTTAAACAACATCTAACACTAAACAAAATCTAACAATACAGAAAACCTAACACTAAACAAAGTACTAATACTAAACAAAACCCAACTACACCCATAACAAAATCATTAATGGCGTCTCTGTGTAGAAAGAGCAGCAGTCTCTGCTTCAGCCATTGAAATTCCTTGAATATTGTCAATAACATGTAAAATATTCATAAATTATATTGACGATTCATTTTTGATAGCTCTAGCGCCTCCTACCGACTGGTAAAATAATTAATATCGTGATATTGACATGCCAGTCAAAGCTCTAATACATACAAGTTCGTTGAAATCGGTTTAGCCACAAAAAAAGTTATTCAACTTTTTCCAAAACAATATTTGACCCTTCCACCTCCCTTAATTTGACGATATAGAAAAAACAGTTCAAACGAAAAAGTTTCCTTTATCTAGGGTAGATTAGGTTGAACGTAATTTTGATATAGGTTAATTTGAAATATTAAAAAAAAAACGTTTTTTCCATTTTAAAGTAATGTAATGCCAAAAAGTTCTGTGCATGACTGTAAGCGTGATACCCTTGTTATGGGTTTTTTGAGCTATGAAAACTTGATGTGTGTCATTTGCTTGCTTCTAATATACCAATTTTAACGCTTCAATAGTCAAATCAATATTCTTAATATGACAGCACGCAAAGAATTATTATCATTATTATTTCTTACTTAAGTAATTGTTTGTTTTATTTAAAGACTTGTTGACTCACCCCGTATGCCGAACCAATTTTTCATCGGTGTACCGTTACTTTACCGACATCGTCAATATTAAAACACGTAATTAGTCCTCACTTAACGGCCCGCCAAATTACATTAACCTTTTTAATTACGTTTTAATTGCGCTGGTCTCGGTTAAAAGCTCGCCAGGTCGTACAGCTCATTTTTCTAATCGATTTAATATCTCATAACATCGAAATGTTGTTTTTATTAGTTACTGAGCTACGGCAACACCGCCTTTTCGGTAAAAATTACCAAAATCTGTAAAACTAAACGTCATAATTTTGTTATATTAATTTAAGGCCACCACGTTGCCGCTTCTTCGAGAAAGTTGCATCAACGTTGAAATTTGCAAATTGCTAATATTTTATGATTGCTTTTAAATAATACCTTGCTATATCTATCTTCTTCGGTTTTCGTGAAAATAGTTATTTTCCTTTTTTTGGACGTAGCTAGGGGAAGTACTGCGCGTTATATATTATACAGGGTTGCTCGAAAGTAATGATTTTCTCACGAGCCACAAAAATGATGAAAAGTGCATTTTTTTAAATTGACCTCCCCGTATATTATCATGTATTCTAAGAGCAAATAGTTTGGATTCTGAAATAAAAGCAAGTTCTTGTGGCATAATTTTAAATAAATGTAATTATAATTTTAATAAATAATAATAAATAATAAATAATTAAAAAAAAAAAAAAAAAAAAAAAAATATATATATATATATATATATATATATATATATATATATATATATATATATATATATATATATATATATATATATATATATATATATATATATATATATATATATATATATATATATATATATATATATATATATATATATATATATATATATATATATATATATATATATATATATATATATATATATATATATATATATATATATATATATATATATATATATATATATATATATATATATATATATATATATATATATATATATATATATATATATATATATATATATATATATATATATACATAACATTCTTGAATATTCTCGTCGTTTTATTTGAATTAAACGTAAAATCCACATGAATTTGAAATCTGGGTCGGGCTCGCTATAAAATATCGAAAAAGGAGCGGCAATTTTAATACGAATACTCCGTTTTTTCTCGTGTCGTGCCTGCAGAACCCGGCAAAGCGGACGTCTAATTAGTAAGAATAATTGCATGGCGTAATGTCTTAATTACGTGCTGATTTGGTGTCGAAAAAGTGCGCCTTTGGAAGCAGAGGCAAAAAAAACATAACTGTATCCAGCCATCTATTTTCTTTTCTTTCGTTTGACGATAGGCGTGTCAAAAGTCTTAATTAATCGTTCATTTTGGAGTCAGTTTTACGCATTTGTATTTATTGCGTGAAACCTTCGTAGTGTCACATGATAGTGTATGACGCCGACACCAAAAATAGAGACTCCAACCAAATAAATCATTTTTTGGCAACAGTTTATCAGCTTCCGCGACACCCTGTATAATTTTACGTCACTGTTTTGTATCCGCTAAGGGCTTTGCGAATGTAAATTACACTTTACCGTTTGCTTTAAATTTAGACCTGTTTTCAATATTACAAATATTTTAATACGGCTTTTTATAGTAGGCTCTGAAGTGCAAATAAATCATTATGATTATTAAATATAATAGTTTATAATAACTATATTGCACCATAACTTTATATATTTTACAATTGGTTATTTTTAGTTCCTTTAATAATCTCACTAAAGTACTAAATATATTTACAAAATTTTGCATTTCATATTAAATTTATGTTTGAACTGAGGTGCATGATGACGAAAATCCATTTAACAAAATAAATAAGACCTAAAAGATCATATTTTCAGGAAATTATATATTTTCACATGACAATTGTTTCGACCACACCGTGTCTTTATCAAATGTAATATTTACAAACTACCTGCTACTATATA